CGTCCTCAGGTGAACCCCCCGCTGCCTCTGTCTCGCCTTGCTCCACCGTCTGCTCCCCTGGGGACATCACCTCCTCATCAATGGCAGCGACATCATCCACCATCGCCGGAAGCACCACCACGGTAGCGGCTTCGGCCTCTGGGACCGGCTCCTCCGACGCCGACGGTACCACAAGTCCTCCGGCTCCTTGTGGTTCGACCGTGACCGAGCTCGCCGAATCGCCACCACGTTCCTCCGCCTTCTTCGCTTCAGACCCATCCACGTCCCCACGCCCACTGCCCTTTCGCCACTTCGGCTTGCCACCTCTCGTATAATCCTTGCGGGTGGCCGTCGAACCATCAGCGGGAGCTCCCTTTGCCGGTTTCAACCAAGGGATCGAGTTCACACCGCCGCCGATACTGCTCGAGTGGGCTCCGTCTGTCTCTGCTGCTCCTGCTGCGAGATCAATCTGGCTGTCTTGTTCACCGGTCACGCGACGGTCGTCAGGCTCTGCCGACGATCGCTCCCCAACGCTTTCCTCCGACGCCGGGGCGACATTGCTCGAGACGCGACCGCCCCACCACCGATCACGGCCACGACCAGCGTCGGAGGCGGAGCTATCGGTCTCAGCCTTGGCCGTCGATTCCGGCTGCGGTGTCGAGATCTCTTCTCGCATAAGCGTCTTAGGCTCAGCTCCGTTACCGGCNCGCACCGTCGGCACTGGGGTTGGCCCTGCGTCCATGTCAAGCGATTCGGATTATACCCCGCGCAAATACAAATCCCAGCATGCAATTCTTTCACAAGGGTCTGCGTACCGGTCCAAGCGTGTTTGTCAAATTGCATGGATCTCATTCAGAGGGGGTCTGTGTGCAAGCCCTAGGGTGTTTAGAGTTTTCCAGGGAAAATGCCATTACATGTTTGAGCACAAACAATCACTTTCCATATCAAATATCCATCGTAGCATTCTCAACAACAAGAACAGTTGATTATTGTGTTGGCGGTCGTTAGCGGTGGCGGCTGTTCGGGTGTTCTTTTCCCTTCTGTTTCCAGGCGGCTGTTCGGCTTGGAGAGTCTTTCATATTCTTCGAAGCGGCTGTAATATTCTTTTCTTTATAGCACAGCAATAGCGGGTGGAACAGCGAAGAACACCTTGCTTGGTCACAGCTATCCATATACAGCAGTTTCGGAAACGCACTTCTGTACTCCGTGGTTGCGCTTGATGCACGCTGGAGGAACAAAACTAAACACACCCGCCCACGAGAAAGATCTGAACCGCGGAGTAAAGCGGGTAGGCCATTGAAGTACTGTAGCAAAAGACAAGAGGTGAGACGCCGTTGTGGCTCGAACCGCTTCTGTCGGTCCCATTGCCGTCTCTTCAACTCCGAACAACACCCCTCACCTGTTTGTTAGTTTTCTCGTTTCTACTGCCATCGACTCCCACGTTTGTGCCGCTGTGCTGCTGCTGCTGTTTTATACTGCTGTTGCTCTGTTCTTGGCTGCTCATTTTGCAATATTACACACCTCCCCCCTGGCTCTCACCCTTCGTGAGGCACGGGCAAACAAACGCTGTGGTACGTAGCTAACCAGCACCGACCCGCAGCAGCGCAGCTTGCATAAAGCCGGAACGTTGGACTGAACATAGAACGACGTTGTATGAACGTAGAACACATAGTGACGACAAATAGGTCTGCACCCAGGTCGCTGCGGACGTGAGTTCGTTTCGAAATCTTTTTTCCGGTTCACCTGTCTGTTTGGTTTGATTTGTTTGCCCCGCGTCGTGGTAGCAATACGTACGTGTATGAATGCACTGCGTGATGGTTTGGCTGTATGTGCTGGACGTATATCCATCTTTCTTTGAATGTTTGAAAAAAACACACACGCGCGCTGTTCCTGTCTGTATTCATTCGATCCGTCCCACCTTCACATCCATCCATTATTCGTGTGTGTATGGATGTACGCAAATTTACTTCTATTGTGTGCCACACAAACCATGATGCTACGGTCATTGCCATACAACATATTGTTTGAATGCAAACGCGCGAATACAACGCTTCTCCGCCCGCCTGTGGGTGTATGTGTGCGTTTCCTGGGCGACAATACGGCTCTGATGAATCGTTTGGCGGCCTGGAATCCGCGGCGGTGGGAGACGCAGCTTCAGAAAAAGGCAAATCCGGAGTGTGGAAGGAACGAACAGTGCGTACTCACTCTACAATCTACCATTTATCTGTGTTTGCTCTTTGCATGTTCTTGCATCACCCCCTGCCGTGGCGCTCTCTCTACCCCACTCCGGAGGGACGCCTTGTAAACACGATGAATGTGTGGCTTTAGTTTGAATAACCGGTTCGATTGAACATTTTCTCTTTGTTTTTGGGAAAGATATGGATGTGGTGGGGTCGTCAAAAGCCACCTTGTGATGTTTGACGTTCAAATGGCGATTCTGGCAGACTGAAAGGCGTAAGATGTGTTCCTCCGAAGTCGGTGATAGTGTCCATATTGCCTCTTCCCGTTTGGCCATTGTTCACGCAGCACCTGAAAACCGCATGTGTCGGTGTTGCTAACCTCCCCATTGGACCTTGTAGCACTAGATCATGTGATCGCCCCTTTGACAGTTTGATGCTACTCGGTGTGCGGTCGGGTGTGCGCGAGAAGAATCGATTGATGTTCAAAATGTATTGAGGCAATCGTAGACAAGGTTCATGTAGGGCATGATTTGCACACACATACCAACAGAGACCCATGTACTGGTCCAATCGTGCTGCATGTAATACACGCAAGGGTCTTGGGGTATGATTTACAGACGCAAAACGCCATAGACCCCACCTTGCATCCACGGTCTCGAGAGATGTGGTCTCCGCGCCCGCACCCGCTGCCGTCGACATGTCGCCGCTCCCTCTAGTTTGTTCTCCATCCGAACCACTCTCTGCGACACCTTGCTCGGCTGCAGCTTCCTTCGCCACGTCACCCGGGCTACTGGCAAGTTGCTCCGATGAAGATTCAGTTGCTTCCGCCTCATCAACCGCCGGCAAAAGGTAATCGGGGTCCTCGCCTTTAGTCTCCACGGCGACAACCGTCTCGGCCGAGACATCATCCTCAACACAAGGGGCTCCCGAATCATCTGTCGACCCGTCCACGGACGAGCCACCGGCAGCGCCATCAGCAACTACCGATGATGATGCCGCAGCGTGTTCGAGATCGGGTTCAGCGGCGGCGCTTCCACTCCCGATTTCCCCTTCGGTCGAACTGCTCTCGCCCTTGTCATCGTTGGCGTGTGCGGCACTCTGTTCGTGGTCCACGTACTCGAATGCCTCGACTTCCCCTGAAACGTCCGTCGTGGCCACGGGTACTTCGTCCAGAGGCCGTTTTCCCCCCTCGTCTGCAGCGTCGACGTTTCCTGCCTTTCCGCCATCGGCCACAGCAGCAATTGCCGAGACGCCCACCAATCCGTGCATCAAGGATACTCCCGCTACCTCTGTCTCCCTTTGTTCCTTCGCGGTCCCCTCTCCTGCAAGCGCTACCTCCTCATCAGCGGCAGCGGCAGCATCCATGGCCCCGGAAGGGCTCACCGCCGCGGCGCTTTCGACCGTACGCAGATGCTCTTCAGCAGGTACCTTAAGACCTCCGCCTCCGCGTGTGTCTGCTGCAATAGAGCCCCCCAAATCCCTACTACTGCCCCCTTCTTTCGCCGCCTCAGAGCCTCTGCCGGCCTCCTTCACCTGTTGCTGCTTCTCCATCTCCTTTTCCTCCATCACCATATCTCCAACGGTTGCAGCGGACCTCGACACACGCGGGTCTTCTGCTGTCCTTCGCCCAAGGGACATGGGAGGAGCAGACACGGCCTCCCCCGCGTCGTCCAGCGACAGCGAGTTCGGCATGTAGTCGAACCGGAAGTCGGGTCCGCCACCCCTCTTTTGATTCCACCGTTTCTTGCGGGAGGCCAGGACACGGCTGCGGGACAGGGGTCTTCGACGCGTCGGGCCGGAGGCCGGGGGCGTTTCCGAGGCATCGCCGACACCCGGCCGCACCTTCGTGAAAGGGTTTGAAGCACGGAAGGAGATCACGAGCAAGGAAAACACAAAGAGATCGACGGATACACACAGAAGTCTGCGACCGAAACGTGTTTTCGCTCCAACAACATAAAAATGCGCAGCCACCGCTCTCGGTAAACTATCAGCCTCTCCTTGTGTTGTAGTCAGTCTTCAACGTGGGTCAACGGCCGTTCAAAGCCCTCGCAAGCGACCTTGCCCGCCCAATCCTACTCCCTTCACTGTGCCCCCGTCCGCACTCACCTTAGGAACCTCCGTGCCCCACGGTTTTCCGTAGAACGGGTCGAACCCGTACTCCACGTCCTGCGACTCTTTACCCGGCGAGGGCCCCCGATGCTCGCCGGAGTCCGCCTCCTCCCTGCCGGGCTTGCCGGACGGAACCGGGCTGCCGGCCTCCTCCGCCACGCGCTCGTCCACCTTGTTCTGCGCCTTCAGCTTCTCATTCTCCTGTTCCACCTCGAGCAGCTTCAGGCGGTAGTGCTCTTTCTCCTTCTCCGTCTTGTCATTGATCTCCTGCCTTTCGTCCTTCTCCTTCTCTTGCCTCTCCTGCTGCCCCTTACTCGCCATTTCTTGCTCGTGGTCCACATCGTCCTCCTCGTCGTCGTCGTGGTCTTCGTGGTTGTGCTCGGGAGTCGAACCGGTTCTTTCTTTGTTGGCCTCGTCGGCCAGCTTTTGAGCCAACTTTGGCCTCAACAGCGAGCGCACCAGGGCCCACTATGTGAGACGAATGAGGGTCCATCGAGGGGCATCGAGGAGGGGATAAAACAACAGCAGAGAAGAAACAGGTGAGAGGGAGGGAGGGAGGAAGGGAGGGATCGTCGCGATCAAAGGCCGAGCGGCGTTCAAGTGTATCAACACGGACGGCACCCCAAAGTATACATCAACGGGTCCATAAAAAAAAACCATCGCGTCATGAAAACTGAACGCCTCGCGCCCTTCGAAGCTTCGACCCATCCCAGCTGTGCAGCCTCCACAATTCAGCGGCGAGCGTGCAGAAAATCGGAACCTTGGTCACCACCATTTTGATGCGAACGGAGAGAGCCAACACGTCGCTCTTCGTCTCTCGCAACGGCCAACAAATGCCTCAAGCCGAGAGCAGACGACACCGGTACAAACCTCTCACTCCCGGTCAACGCAAAGGCCGAGGCCAGGCGTTGGATACCGTCATCTACGCTCACTTATTTGTTTGTTTCGGGCGCAAGTGGATTGGATGTAGGGTGCTTCAATCAAGAGATGCAAGCGTCTCGCAAAGCGTAGGAACTTTCGTAACAGCTTCCTCGGGTTTTCGTTTTCACTTGAACATGGGGTACTTGCTGGACCGCCTTCAATCGACAGCAAAAAGCAGCTCACGCCGCGAATGCTTTTCTTTCTTCATATAGCATCATCGCACAGGCAACCCACTCGCATTGGGAAGAGATCAGCGAAGGCAGACACCATCATCGGAGGTTTGACCTCGGATATGCCCTAAAGACTTGAATTACACGCCATCTACGTTCGGCTTGAACGTGCGATTATATTGAACAACATGATGGACGTTTGCAAAACCCAAGGGGATTATTTTCCGGCTTAACACGCCTCCAAAGTTTATAGCGACTCCAAGCGTCCGAAGCATCGGAACAACCTTGGGAGAGATCAGGCGTATCGGGCACCAGTTTGAGCCCATTCAAATCGTTTTTGCTAACGTTTTGCCCTAGCCAGGACCAAAGTTTTGCTTGGCCTCCAAAGCACAGGTAAACACCTACCACTAACCACAGGCATTATCCGTAAAATTCCCTAGAAATTGCCTTAATCTTGACGCTACAAACTACGTGCGCCGCTGCTCTTTCAAACCACACCTGTCCATCCCCTCTAGCACCTCGGCTCAATACGGACAGCAGGTGGTCGAAAAACACAACAACCAACCAGACATTGTAGGTGTGCGTGGAATCCCTTTGCAATTGGAGTGGCGGTGTATGGATACCCGTAGCTTTTCTTCAAAAATAGTCGGGCTCCGAGTCACAGCGATGGGTTCTACACTCCTCTCAGGCCTGATTCCCCTCGCTTGATCTACGTCTTAATGGATGGAATAATTATTTTAGGGGCCACTCCCCCCCAGCGAGTTGAGAGAACCTACCGTGATGGTGCCGTTTCATCTCAACAACACTTGGTTCCATGTCACTGCCGGTGTGGCGGGGGTGCCGGGCACAGATCGGAAAGTATTTCGGTTTATTGAGGCAATGGCAACGGCAACAACAAACTTGAACGGCGGCGCTGAAAAAACGGAAAAACGAATTCAAGGGCTTTCTCGGCTGTTTAACGGGGGGGGGGGGGGAGGGGGGGGGGACTCATAAGTCATCCATGCCNGGGGGGGGGGGGGGGGGGGGGGGGGGGGGGGGGGGGGGGGTAGGGGGAGGGTACTCATAAGTCATCCATGCCGCAGTCGTTAGACCATTGACCTCGCATACCTACAAAGCCGGAACGGAGCACGCTGGGTTCTTACCGGACCAGGCTCTTGGCTGTTCGACGGGAGGGCAAAAAACAACCGCTGGTTTAGGTGTCACATCACACCTTCTTCTGGACCGACGTGGTAACTTCCGAGATCTTGAGGATGCCGACCGTCAAACCAGCCCCGAGCATGGCGATGAAAAGAAGCCCCGCCCCACACGCCATCCCCAGTCCCGCGGTAATCCAGATGGCGCTGGCGGTGGTGAGGCCCTTCACCTCGCCGTCGACGTCATTCATTGATACCGTGGTCCCGGGAAAGTTGCTGCCGCCTCTCCCGCGGGTGTTCAGGCTCTCTCGCATGCTGCTGGCCTCTTTTCCTGATGTCGTGATTACCTGTTGGTTGAAATTGAGAGATCTTCAAGTGTTCTTGTAGTCATTGTCAGAGTGTTCCGGTGATTGGCTCGCGGCGTGTGCACAACGAGAGAGCTCGTGTAGACCAGGGGAATGCCCTTGTCCGTCAACGGCCCATGCGCAGACAATAAGACTGCAATAGCCTGATCGAAAATTTGAAATTCTTCGTTCATTTTTTCGTCAAAGAAAATGCCGCGAATGTCGAAGCTTGGCTTTCGGCGCTGCCACCGGGAAGATGCCAAGGCGGGTTCCGCCGAACGAAAAACGCAACTGCAACACGGCTGTGACTGAAATTCCCCGGTGTCAATGAAGGGCGTCGAAAACGAAGACGGAAGGAGCGCCTCGCGGACAAAAAAAGCCGAAAGAGCGCAGATATTCACTGGCACGAGAGAACGAGAGGCATACACACTCGTCTTCTGCTGTTGCCATGGGGGTAAGCGTAGAATATCAATCGCGTGAACACCGTGCCGTCTCGGTCGGTGCTGCCGGTACTGTGTGTAAGGCGACCTGTGTTGATAGTTTTAGCCAAACCCGACTAAATGTGGACAACGATTGAATGGTATGCACAGAAATCCGAATACACCATCCACGAACACAAGCAACCACTCCACATTCATCGAGAAAGAAAGCAAGGCGACCACTGCAGAAAGAAGGTGGAGGGAAACAACCAAGCCCTGTGGTGCTTCCGTTCTGCGTAACCTTGGTTGGTCCGCCCAAAATAGCATACACTCGAAAGGTTAAAAATGGACGTCCAGAATATGAGATGACAACACACGCGAGGCTCTGCAACACTGAACCCTGTCTTCCGATCTCCTCCGCGCCCCAACTGTCGGAGCCCGCTGACTAAAGCTGTCCCGCTCCAAACCTGGCGTTTTCTATTGGTCCGCCAGCCGGTATGCGTTGCCAATGCTACTTTCAGAAAACACCCACACGCGCGCACAACTAGCTAGTTTCATTGGTCAGCCGATGAGAGCGGTCGATGCCCAACGGCAGTTTAAGAAGCACACATACACACACATGGAGCACCCTTACTCACCCCTGCTCCGATGAAGCCGACCCCCGACGCCACGCTGGCCGCCACGCGTGCCTGGTCCGCTTTCCCGACGAAACCTAACTGCGATACCAGAGTAAAGGTACAAGCGCCCAGAGCGACCAACGACCTTCGATGCAAAAAAACACACGCAGCAGGGGAACAAACATGGAGTATTCAATACTCGATTAGCGTACGTCGCACAATATACCACACCCCGAGGACCGCATTTCAAGGCTCGATTACCCTGCAGAAAAAGAAGCGACAGCAGCGCCGATAATGTTGGCGTTGGCACCGTCTCGTCGATGGCATTCTGACAACGTATCGATTGATTCTGAATTCTCTTCGTCGCATCTTCACACCTGCGTGTGCCTTGCATATCCTGCATATTGTAACGAGATTCGGCAGCCCTGCCAAACCCAACCTGGGATGACTTCCAATATAGTACTGGGCCCTCTATAGTGCAGGGGTGTGTTCAGAAATTTTACCTGCATTATAGCGGGCTCCAGCGCTATGCAGAATAGTGCCTCAATCGTGCAGGTTCGGCACTATTGAGGTTTTGAATGTCCCTCAATAGTGCAGGTCCTGCACTATTGAGAAGATGTTTGATTTCATGGTGAGGCGCTCATGCTTTGCGGGGCTAACAGAGTACGAAATGGATCGAAGTACAGCAGTGCTGGGCCCTGCTTTAGCGTGGGTGTGGACAGACTGTCCCGCGCGTGTGGTCGCCCCCTTCGCACACACCGAGTTACTTTGCAAGTTGCACCGTAAGTTTCTCCTGCTCAGCACTCGTAGTGTACATCGCACACCCTGAACTGTCGCACGATCTAACATTAACGCGCAGTGGACGAAAGATACGTGCGCCTGGGCAAGAGCTTCCATTGGAGGCCTGTCTCGTCGACGTTGAAGATGAACCTAGCCGGGCACTCCGTGCAAAGAGCCCTGATTTCGTCCATGCCCTCCTTGATGGCCGCGCTGTCGACGCTACCAGCCTCGCCATGAAGTCTCATGCTCTGGGTTTTGTTGCGCTTCACGAAGTCCTTTGCACACTTTTCGCCGGCCTTGAAGTCCTCGACCCACGCCCTCACTGCTTCAGAAGTCGCAGGGTCAGCCAGCAGGGTTACCCTGGCGGAACGGCCGGAGCTCCGAAGGACATCGCGTGTGACGGGCATCTTGGCCTGCCGGGCTTTCTCGAGCAGATCACGAGCTATCTTATCCACCTGACGCCGAAAAATTAGTGTAGAACAACATCAATGCACCGAGTGCAAAAAATCGAACCATTAGTTTCGAACGATAGTAAAACATACATCCTACACTGCGCGGCGCGGTCAGGCGGGAACGAAAAAAAAAAGGTGATGTGAATTACATTTGAAAAAAAATGCGGGCAAGTAGAGACAAGCGCTGCAGACGTATACATGGGTGGTTCCACATTGAGAAAGAGGGTGTGGGAGATCGGAGATAAAAGAAGCAAGACGAGAAAAAAAGGAGAGAAAAAAGACAACAACAACAAGGAAAGGACGGCGAAAAAAAAACCAAGGAACAAAGGAAAGGTGAAAGCGCAGACAAAGAAAGCAAAACGAGAGACAAAAAAGGTGAGGACAAAGACAACAAATACAAGGAAAGAACGACGGGGAAAAAGAAAAGAGAGACGAAAAAAACGAAATAGAAAGACAGAAAGACAGAAAAAAAAGGAACGCTGCAAAAAAAAAAGCGATCAAAGAGAACAAGGCTCGAAAAAAAACGGCCGCACAAAACAAGGCGGGGAAAAAACAAGGTCACAGCAGCAAGGCAGTGTATGTAACGCACCTCCGGAAATCTCCTTTGCGTGCAGTTTTCTGGCTGCCGTTGCCTGCAGCTGCCGCCGCCTCGATCGCCTTCGGGTTAGACCTCACCGTCGCAAGAAACCGAATCGAGCACGAGAAGCGGTCTGCAATCTGCGCGTAGGAGACCTTGGCATCCATCGCCTTCAGCATTTCAAGCTTCTTGTTGTTGTCCGGCCGCGCACGAGAAGCAGAACCCTTCTTCCTCCCCCCCTTCGTCTTCTTCGGGTGTTAAGCGGATCCCGCCCCAGCACCATCAGCTGGTGCCGCTTTGCGCTTGCCAGGCTTGGCGACGCACTTGCTGCAGATGCGGTGCATTTCATTGTCCTCAAACATGCTACCGCAATTGCCGTGGAGCCGGCCGCCACACCCTCCCTTGCAGACGTGGCCATGAGGGGCTTGCGGCGTTGTGTCTTGCTGATGGCACAGTTCCCCGTCCGCACAAGGCATGGTGCGCCTCTGCGTAGAGCTCTTAGGGTCTGCAGCAAGACGTGTATCCGCGTTTTCTGTGTTGCGTCTGTCCGCTGTTCGGTGTGGGTGTGTGTGTGTGTGTCCAACCTGCACTATGGCGGGGCACCGCGGTGCCCAACCTGCACTATAGCAGGACCTTCCTCTATAGTGCAGGAAGTGCAGGACCAGCACTGTAGAGGGCGCTGTCTGTGTCCAGAGATTTTACCTGCACTTTACAGAGCACCTGCACTGTTCAACCTGCACTATAGAGGGCCCAGTACTGTATTGTGATACTCAGAAGTGTATGGCTACGCTCTAGGGCTCTAATCAAAAGCGGCACGCAGCCCCCACCCAATAAGGAGTGCAGTTCACGTCTGCATACAAGCGCAGCAGCGGTTGTTGCAGTGCTGAACGATTAGCGGTGCTTGGACGTATTGTAATATAAATCAAATCACTGAGCTGCGCGTGTTCGCCCTCGTGGTTGGCCAGAAGCGATTGGCGACGGCCCATCTCGTTGCGTACAACGGTCAGTTTCACCTTGATTGCAAAACAGCCACCACCGCCCTTGCTTCTCAAACCACCAACGTACTTCAGTGCAGGTACGCATGAGGCTGACATTCTTCACGTGCCAATTACATTATCTCGAGCGGGCAGTCGTCCTTCGATGTTACGAATGTGCATATTTTCTGGACGAGCGAACAACGGAAGGTGCACCGAACTGCCAGCGTATGGCATTCACTGCCTTACGGGCCTGCCCGGGGCATCAGGCGAAGCATGTTTGCCACGTAATACATATGCATAGCAGGGGCGGTTTCTTAGAAAGTAAACATTCGTTGGCGCAAAGGTGTGGCGGCAGCAGCAGAGCCCGTGTGCGGGTACCGGTCGAGGTGATACTTCAACTAGGGTCAAATCACCTTCGCTCAACCTCCAACCGAGGAAACTAACACCGAATATTGCTCTTCCTCCCCCCCTGTCCTTCTTCTCTCACATGGTGCGAACTCCAGCTGGTCGGTGGGATGTTCGGCGCTCCGTCCCGATAAACATTCCCACCATCGCCGCCACGACCAGCCGAAGGAATATCTGCAGCTCAAATGGCGAGGGCGCCAACGACTGCAGCAACACCCAAACGTAACCAAGCACCAGCCGGACCGACTCCAGCACGCTGTGCTGCATGCCTTGGCCGCTGAGCATCGCACTGCTTGCGCTTGCGCCGGCGCCGGCGCTGGCGCTGGCGCTGGCGCTGGCGCCGCTGCTGCTGCTGCTCTGGACGATAGCGTCAGCAAGCCCGCTCTCCACGACGTCCAGAACGGCTCTCCCTCCAAGGGGAGGCATCAACAGGATTCTCGCATCCCTCAGCAGTCGGACTCGGTCTGCAGAGGGGGAAGAAGCGCTGCTCTTGGAGCGGCCGCCGCGAGGACCCGAAGATGNGTGTGTCCAACCTGCACTATGGCGGGGCACCGCGGTGCCCAACCTGCACTATAGCAGGACCTTCCTCTATAGTGCAGGAAGTGCAGGACCAGCACTGTAGAGGGCGCTGTCTGTGTCCAGAGATTTTACCTGCACTTTACAGAGCACCTGCACTGTTCAACCTGCACTATAGAGGGCCCAGTACTGTATTGTGATACTCAGAAGTGTATGGCTACGCTCTAGGGCTCTAATCAAAAGCGGCACGCAGCCCCCACCCAATAAGGAGTGCAGTTCACGTCTGCATACAAGCGCAGCAGCGGTTGTTGCAGTGCTGAACGATTAGCGGTGCTTGGACGTATTGTAATATAAATCAAATCACTGAGCTGCGCGTGTTCGCCCTCGTGGTTGGCCAGAAGCGATTGGCGACGGCCCATCTCGTTGCGTACAACGGTCAGTTTCACCTTGATTGCAAAACAGCCACCACCGCCCTTGCTTCTCAAACCACCAACGTACTTCAGTGCAGGTACGCATGAGGCTGACATTCTTCACGTGCCAATTACATTATCTCGAGCGGGCAGTCGTCCTTCGATGTTACGAATGTGCATATTTTCTGGACGAGCGAACAACGGAAGGTGCACCGAACTGCCAGCGTATGGCATTCACTGCCTTACGGGCCTGCCCGGGGCATCAGGCGAAGCATGTTTGCCACGTAATACATATGCATAGCAGGGGCGGTTTCTTAGAAAGTAAACATTCGTTGGCGCAAAGGTGTGGCGGCAGCAGCAGAGCCCGTGTGCGGGTACCGGTCGAGGTGATACTTCAACTAGGGTCAAATCACCTTCGCTCAACCTCCAACCGAGGAAACTAACACCGAATATTGCTCTTCCTCCCCCCCTGTCCTTCTTCTCTCACATGGTGCGAACTCCAGCTGGTCGGTGGGATGTTCGGCGCTCCGTCCCGATAAACATTCCCACCATCGCCGCCACGACCAGCCGAAGGAATATCTGCAGCTCAAATGGCGAGGGCGCCAACGACTGCAGCAACACCCAAACGTAACCAAGCACCAGCCGGACCGACTCCAGCACGCTGTGCTGCATGCCTTGGCCGCTGAGCATCGCACTGCTTGCGCTTGCGCCGGCGCCGGCGCTGGCGCTGGCGCTGGCGCTGGCGCCGCTGCTGCTGCTGCTCTGGACGATAGCGTCAGCAAGCCCGCTCTCCACGACGTCCAGAACGGCTCTCCCTCCAAGGGGAGGCATCAACAGGATTCTCGCATCCCTCAGCAGTCGGACTCGGTCTGCAGAGGGGGAAGAAGCGCTGCTCTTGGAGCGGCCGCCGCGAGGACCCGAAGATGAGGTTGGTGCTGCTGCTGCTGCTAATCCTGCTGCGGGAGAAGCGGTTCGTCTCCCAACGATACGATCAGCCCTCAAGCGAGTCGTTACCGACAAGGGGAACTGAAGGGCAGCAACATCAGTCCGTTGGTCATGCGTATGCAAGAACAGCTCCGGGCACAACAGGACTAAAAGACCTGCGCCCCGACATCTCATGATGGACGCCGCACGAGGGAAATGACGGTGCAAGGTTCGTTTCGCCAACGGGCGGTATCGTAGTGCCTCGCATTCAATGAGGAGTGCGAGGGTGTGATTGTAGTGCGCCTGGCCGTGACGCATCTAACAACGGGCAGTCAGTCCGATATCTCGCAGAGGAGGTCCGCGCGACGACAGTCCCGTCGCAATGCACGGTGCCCCCGGCCAGGCTGGGCAGAGCCAGAGACAGAAGTCAGTACCACAGACAACTGCAACCTGCGACGGGACACGGCCTGCCACACGCGCAACAACCCACTCCCCTGCCACTCACTCTCGCTTTGATGCACCTTACCACGGGTAGAACCGCCAACGTTGTTTGCTCCATCCATCTCGACGCGCGAAACGTCGATCTGTTGATACAGCAGTAGCCGGTTCACTCCTGCTACATCACTGCTGCTGGTACCGAGGGCCGGCTGGAACCGATACAAGCGAGCATCATAGAGCATGGGAATCATGGATGACTTCAGCGCGGGACACCAGCGGCTCAAGGAGCGAATCCACAACTTCCGGATACCCCTGTCACGGCCCGGCCGCATCGCCATGAGCATTGTTTACTTCTCGATCCCGGTGGTAGGGGGGCACTACCTCATGCAGTGGGCGCAGGAACGAGCTCAGGTGAACCTGACGGACGCGGGCGTGCTGCCGAAGCCGGGAGAGACGCCAACGAGGTCGAAGACCCATGAACAAAACGCCGCCATCAAGAAACAACTAGAGGAAATCAGATCGAAGAGATGACGACTCGCAGCCATTACGAAAGGGGTGGAAAGGCATCATGGCGGGGACGACTGGCTGCTCCCGCTTGGCGGTAGGGTACGTGGAGTGATGAGGTTTCTGGTAGGCAGGCAACTTGATGTTGACACTTGCCAAAGAGTTGACGTATTCGATCCGAGAGAAAGGTGGTTTATGTACCCCGTAGAAACCAAAGCCTTCCACGTGGTGGCCCGTACCGTAGGAGACCCTTGGAACGGTTTGGTGGCAGAAAAGGGTGGTGTATACGTTGGAATGAGGTTGAGGTTTGAGAAGCAACAGCTATTCCGCGCGACCGACAGTAACACCAACGACTTTCTCACCAAGGGATATTAGGTTTCCCTCTTATCTTCGATTTGATCTGCTGCTGTTATAGCCGTCACTCCGAACAAGTATCCATCCGCTTTCGTCGCCTGAGCAAGAATTTTCATCCAACCAGCGAGGTGTTTGACGGCAGTTGGCTGTCATGATGTAGGCTTGGCACGTTCAGCAGAAGTGGTAGTGGCTGCAGCGGAAGAAACAACTTTTTCGTTCGAATCACTATCATGGGATGGGGGCGGTGTTCAGAGAGGGCGAACGGTTTGATCCGTCGAGGTTGATTGTTGGGGTGTTTCGGGGCTCAAGCATGCCCTCTGATGGTGTTTGAAACTGTGCAATGCCGGAGGGAAAGTTGAACCATGTGCACTCCAGCTCTCGACTGCACAGGTGGAAAGGCTCCGCGCCTTTGCATGCATAGGACTCCCGTAGCAGAGCTCGAATAGTCCGTGTATACGATTGTTGTCTGAAATTCCTGCAGTATTAATACGAGCCTCCTTGGTATATGGAACAGAACCTGTGAGTCTTCGCTCGTGTTTTTTACTCGATGCGCTGGGCTGTGTTGTGTGGCGGGGAGATCGACGAAACATAATTTGAAGGGTGGATGGAATGCAATAGCAGCAACGATGGCCCAGGGTGGTTGACGACAAAGTCCGAATCGGTTTGTGTGATTAGATTATCTCTGCAGATCTGTTGCTGGTCCACCTGTCGCTGGTGTGAAATCTTGAACAATGGTTCGTGTCCACTCACCCCTGCTTTTTTTCAATATTTGAGCTGGTGGGCTGCTGCTGCTTCTGCTGCTGCTTCCTGTGCTTCTATAGCACCTGCTACCTTTGTCCTTCATCGGAGGCTCACTTTTTAAAGGTTAGCATTTGTGGGAAGGTTGGACGCGCGTGGGCTTCGGGGTGTGTTGGTACCATCCCGTGTTTCTTGTGACTTGCCACGACATTCAACTTTCGCCCGAATACGAGACACATGGAGAAAGTTTCGGTCGATATAAACCAACAACCATTGGCCTCACAGTTGTTCCGACCTTGCACGGTGAAGATACACACATATTTGGTGCGCAGAAATGGAGAGCTTCTTGTATGTATGTGCGATGTGGCCGGGATTACTCCGCCGTCGCAAACACCGGTAGCAATTACGTGTAGCAAAGCACGTGTTGTCGCGTTTCTGTTTGGGTTCGGTGATGCTGTGCTTTGATTTCGGCGGCAACATTATGCTCGGTGGGGGTGACATCTCTTGTTAGGCTTTAGTCTTTTGGCATCGGCGCAACAGCCATCTCCGTGAGTCCGTCGTGTTGGAGAATAGAGTACTGGCTAGCTAGATGGAAGGGTGCGAGCCTAGGCCCATTCTGAAGTGATATCGTCAAATTTTGCACATCAACCTGGACTGACGTCTTTCTTTCATCGTCTTGCGCGATATGTTGGTGAGGTTATCAATGCTTGGCTCATGCACGTCATGGTGTGCAGGTGGCCGCTTTGAGCAAATGTTTGCGGTGGCGTGATCGATCTCGACCTTGATGTTTCATCGACAGACTTGCAGAGGCCGGCTCACAATGTGGAAAAGTATTCAAACGGCACGGATGCAGAGCATGTCGCTGCGCCCTCCATCTGAACGAACAAAGAGTCACAGCGACTGATAGTCGGTCTATCAAGCCCCTTTTTCGGTAAACTGATATCGACCGCGAATACAGCACATCCTGTCGCTCTTGCCCACCGTATTACCGCCTTCATTGGATTACCGATTGCACGATAGAAATCAATTGTATCGCGTGGTGATTTCTGAACGATGGTTATTGGTGAATAGGTACGTTCCCATATTTCCCGCCAGCAACGGTGGCAATGTTAGCTTCTGTTTCCCACCATCAATCCGGTCCAGCCGCGTCCAACCACCCCCCGCTTCGCACTTGCTACAAACAGCATGTGATTGGTGACGTGATATCGACACCAACATTTAATAAGTGGCAGAACCCTCACGTTGCACCACAACGCGCACACGATCCTCTTGCATACATTTCCTTCCGGGAAGACCCGTGTGCTGCACGTCAGCATTGCTTTTGCTACACGCAATATGCGAAGGAAGTTCCTCCGGAGCCATAACGAACGGTTCGAAGAGCGCGGACTTCAAGCTCCACGCATGGCGGTGCCGCTGCGTGCTACCCGCAGAAAAAGGTAGAGATAATAGTATTTGGGTGTTGCGGACTGGTGTTGGGATGTCATCTTCGAAGTTGCCAGGAAGTTCGAGATGAGATCAAAATTTGATTTCGAAAACAGCTTGCGAAGATGCGAGTGAAATGTTTGTGGTCTTGATCACGCAGAAATTTCCAGGAACGCAATATTTTACTACGGCGGAGCCCCCTTTTCGGCAGCAGACTTGGTCCCGCTCGGCACAACCTACATCAGACCTTCCGCCTCCACCCCCACCGCAAGACTACCACCACATTACACTCACAACCGCTGCTAAACAATCATGGAGAACGATGGAGGTCAAAGTGCTCATGAGAAGGCTGGCCCAGTTCAGTTGCCGGATGTTCATGGCAACACGAGTCCTCCGGCGAGGGCCGCTCCCCTCGCCAGAGTTTCGGTGAACACACAGCACGAAGTCCAAGGACCTCCTCCTCCTACTACCGCTGCCCCGCGGTTTTAGTTACCAGGCTGGTGTCCAGGAAAGCCCCCTACAAGCACGGTCCACAGGAGGCACGCGCAGCAGCCCCTCACGCTCCCACGCCGCTTGAAGCATCCCTAACTCCATCACCTCCGCCNTCCAAGGACCTCCTCCTCCTACTACCGCTGCCCCGCGGTTTTAGTTACCAGGCTGGTGTCCAGGAAAGCCCCCTACAAGCACGGTCCACAGGAGGCACGCGCAGCAGCCCCTCACGCTCCCACGCCGCTTGAAGCATCCCTAACTCCATCACCTCCGCCTCCGCCTGTGCAGCACTCCTAAGATCTATGCCGCTCGCAGCATCGCCGTCATCCTCGTCACGCCGACTTGGTGTGTCGCTCAAGAGCATGTAGAACGGTATCAAATGGCGCAAATGCACCATATCGGCAGCATGCATTGCACCGGGTCTGGCGTGCAGTGACGACTGTCTAACTGTCTTGCGGTACTGTAGCTGGCTCGTCGCCGTGGTAGTGTGTATCACGGTCGAGGTGTGGGTGCATAGCTAGCCTCACGGGCTGGTGCGGCATGTGTCCGGACAACGTCGGGAGTATCTCGGGGAGTATAGGCCAACCAGAAACTGTTCCCAAAAAGATAGATGCGAGCAAGATGGAATTTGATCTTTTCTGCGGTCTTCGAGTGCAACTCGTAAAAGCGAAAGATCAAATTCCTGAAGATCCAGCGGTCTTCGGCGCTCGGGTGGATAAAAAAGATCGAAATCAAATCGAATTCCGATGTTCGCAAACTCCGTATTCCCCGATACATTTATTGCGATGTCGTCCACAGAGCAGTGTCGCTCGCTTGTTTTGGGGTTTTGTATAGTTTGTTTTTTCTCGCTTCGCAAAGAGATATATGAATCAGCCGAAGCATGAACGTGGCTCCGGTCAGCATTGCACAACACAACATTTACACCCGACACGTCCGTACACACAAGAACTTACCGCGTTCCTATCTATCAATCTTGCGTAGACTCGAAGCAATATCATGAAACGTCAACAATTGGCTTAAAGTCCAGGCGGAGCAAGCGACACGTGCCAAGTGTTCGACACATCGCACATCTCCCGTACACGCATCCTAGCAGCCTAGCATCAGTCAGTACAGAGAGCGTCGGGTGGATTTTGTGACGAGAAGACTAGTCTAGTCTAGTCAAGTATCCAGCTTCAAATCATAGAGCGCATATTCCGAAATCATTTTTTTGGAAAATACAGAGGGAGGGAGACATTGCAGCAAGCGAGCACAGGCACCAGCAACATTCCACATATGCGCCTAAGCTCCAAGTGCATTCGGTTTTGTTTCGTCGCCTCTCTCTCTCCACAACGAAACCCAGCAACGCCAGAAATCCTGCCTAGCGGGTGGTGCGCTGACAGAATGATCACAACGATCCCCCCACCCCCCTTCATCGATAACAGGGTTCCACAGCGTTGGCCCCCCACCTTGCAGCCGCCGCCCGCGGGGCGGCCCGACGGCATCATTGAGCCGCTTTGGACGAGCTCGCGATGGGCACTACAAACGAGACGATGCAAGTCCAAGCGGCCATTGCGGCACTGTATGGATCCGATGCTGCGGAGTCTGCCCGGGCAAACACCTTCCTCATGGACTTCACTGAGCAACCGGTAAACGTTTCAGATCTGGCGGTCTCCGCTCTGATTTCCTTTCTGTTTTTTATCATCAACTAAAAAGCCATAGCTGGTTGGGCACTTGTACCGGACGCTGTGCTGCTCGCTTGCGCCGCGTGCTGCTGTCTGAACCCTTCAATTTGTCAGCAGCTAGGATGTTGGCTTGTGCGTAAGGGGGTATTGTTAGCACTGCCGGCCAAGCTACACAACGATAGCCAACCCCCACCCGTCCCTTCCTTCTTTTTTGGCTCCATCGCTTCATCAGAGCAACCGCACGATACGGCACCAAACATACGATTGCGCGGCTGCATAATAATTGGCTCACACTTTTCACCCTGACTCTGATGGGTCGACACAGGCTTGACAAGTGAGAACGACCATAAAACCCAAAAGCAGTCGCCGGTTGGTTGACAACTCACAGACAAAACCGCAAGTCGGCACACAATTTTGCCGCCCCCCCCCCCTTGCTGCTGAACCAGCAGCGTGGCGCCCCTCGAGCACGCAGATTAGCTGTTGTAGACCTATTTTCCTAGATGGTAGTGTACAGCAGACGGGTAGCGGAGGGGCGGTACCAGAAGTAGGCGATGGGCAATAGACACCCTCCGCATAGGGCAATCGTTGTTGTGGCTTGTTCACCTGCAAGAAAGCAGCACTGCTGTACGCGGGACGACCAGCCGTCAAATCCAGAGTGAGTGCGCCATGCCCCTTCAGCTCTGCCCCTTGGTACAACCATGTTGCATTTTGCCAGCAAACGGGCACACGACTCGAAGCCACCGGCACAATCCGGAGAGAACATGGAGCCGCGTGGGCATTCCATCGGTGCCGGGCAATTTCGCCCGCAACGCCAGAAGCACCGTCACGCGTCACACTGCTGTTCAGCCGGCACTGCTGTTTTACATCGCCGTGCTGAGAGCCGTTGCTGTCTGATGTTCGGTACCGTAGTGGACTGCCTCCGTCGTGTGATGGAATGCGCCTGTCCATGTGTCTGTGCGCGATACGATCAATCCCCGTGTGCCACCTAGTATCTACATGAGCCTCATCACCGGATAGGCAGTTCCCCTCCCCCGCCCCGTCTGAAGTACGTGCGTGACACACACAAAATATATTACACAACTATTCCGATTGTTCTGGATCAGCCCGCGTGCCACATCCTGCCGTCCCGACGACGGGTGGATATGGTCTACTGCTGCTGTGCCATAACCGTCGCCACCACCTGCGTGCTGTTGCGCTCCTTCCGGTGTTGCGTCGCGCGCCTCCTCTCCTGTTGTCATGCAACAAAATGCAAGGCGGCGTGGTCGATAAGCGTGGAGCTCCTGTCTGCTTCGGTAGCGCCGGAGTCCGCCTCCGCTCTTCACTACTTCGCGGCCAACACTCTCTACACCAAGGTCCGCAAGCACTGGCACCAGCTGGAGGTGGAGCATCGAGACCAACTAGGCACCGTCATCCTCCAGGTACTGCTGTAGTTCGTGATAATAGTACAGTATGCTTCGCTGTGTTTTCTGCCATAGGTGCGATCGCTTCGTATGTTTTTTCTCGGCGTAGGACGCAGAGTAGGTTGCCGAGTTTGATTTTGCTGCGTTTCCTTGATTATAGGGAAGTCCTTAATGTACCGGGGTTGGTGGTGCGATTTTTCCGTGGCCCTACCAAGCAAACCAAGGCTAGTCTCGAGCGTTCTATTTTGGTTTTGAAACTCGCACCCTCCCTTCGGCTATTTAGCATGGGACAAGTGAAGTACGCCCGTCAGCTACCCCCCTCTTTCACGCTGCCGGCAATGGCCAATAGCACCCTTGGGGGCCGTAGTGTCGCGTGCAACATATACCAACCCCCCCCGCCCACCACCCTGACGGGGTTTCTTCACTTTTCGAATCGTCTGTGCAGCTGTTGCGGAGAACCCCTGCGGTCTCACCATCACCGGTCCATGGCTCCGCGGTGCCGCAGCCGCTGCCGTTCGCCCCGGTAGTGATCAGCCGGCTGTGCTTGGCGCTGGCAGCCGTGGCCGTTCGAGCGGCAAACGGGGTCGAGGCGTACGTGCGAGAAGCATTCGCTTTAAGCCAGGTGTGTGTTGTAAACATGTCCGTCGTATTCCGTGTTGACGATGTACAGTATTCCTTTTCGTTCCTTGAGAGGGGTGACACCTTTGGTGGCAAGTGCAGAAGTGGTAGTGAGGTGCTCCGTATGAGAGATCCAAGCGTACCACGCACTTGTTGCTACAACGCAGAGCGCCACGAGATGCAATAATATCTCGCCAAATAATACTATGTGCAGCGAATAGTGTGTTCAATTGTGTGTACCATAGAGTAATAACGACAACACAAACTGCGTGTAGACTGCGGGGAGTCGTCGAAGCCCCTAAAGTGTGGAGGTGCTCGATTCGAACCACTTGTTTCTGTGCCAAGTACAGCAGAGGTCCCTATTTAGTGTCGGGGTGTGCGCCGAAATTTCACCGGCACTAAACCGGACACCGGCACTATTCGAAGTACAGAACGACTTGGTATTCCAGTGTGTGCGAGCCGAAAACACCGGCACTAGAAAGGCAACCGGCACTATTCAACCGGCACCAAACAGGGACCTCTGCTGTACATATGGCACCACAGCAGTAGTACGACTACAATAACAACAGCCAACAACGCACGGGGTGAGTGGTGGGTGCGTGCGTGCGTGCGTGCCCGTGACTAGACCATGAATCGGTGTGCTTCCGCGTGTCCAGAAGGACTGCGTCGCTGTAGATACCAGAACTCCCCCAATACGTCCGTCCCCAACTGCATAACTCCCACTCCTGCACACCCTCGCTGGTCGGTGCCTGTTCTTGCTTTGTATAAAACCGACCATTCGAAAACGCAGTCTGCCTCTGGGCCCGCGGCGGGGGCGGGCGTGGGCGCACACCCCGCGACGGTGGCGCTGTCGCTTCAGATGATCAAGGTCTTGCCCCAGGAGGTAGACGGGGCCGACCTTTCCCGCGCCCGGCGGCTCGAGCTGCAGGACCAAGTCCGGGAGCACAGCTCGACGGTCCTGCACGGTCTCGAGTCCGTGCTAGCGGGAAGCGTGGCGGAGCCGGCGGCGGCGGCGGCCGCCGCGGCAGGTCCAGATCAGAACGGGACCGGAGCACCGGGAGGATCTGGGGGTGGTGGTCTAGTGGAGGCGGAGGCGGGCGGCGGGGCCACGGAAGACGTTGTGCTGGCCGCGCTAGACTGCTTGAGGGAGTGGACGAAGCTGGGCGTCTCCCTGGGCAGGCTTGCGACGGACAGACCCCTGTTGTTGGACCGAGTCGTGAGGCTGCTCGGCGGGGAGGGGGGTCCCGGCGGGGGGGGGGGAGGGGGGGGGGCGGCGGCACTCCCCACCGCGTGCGCGGCCTGCGAGGTGATGTCCGAGCTGTTGGCAGTGAAGGAGTACCCGCGGTCGCCGGCACAGGGCGTGTCGGAGGCGCTGCTAGGCGCGATGGGGAAGATGCCCGTGCTTTTTGCAGCCGCCATACAGGTGTGTGTGTGTGTGTGTGTGTGTGTGTGTGTGTTTGGCATCAACCGCGCTACCTGATGCTTGTGTGTGTGAATAAACTCGCGTAGATGGGTTGAGTTGCCTACAGCGAATGGGGTGTGGGATTGGGACCCACGTCGCTCATCTTCCCTGCCTGTGTGCCCCCAAACGTTGTCTGTGGTTGCTGCGCCCTGCTGCCCTTGGCGCGCGCGTATTGCTAGGTATCGTGGTAGGGTGGATGTCGTCCGCAATTGATGGTATTCAGGGAGCGGCGATGTGCTTGCGGCAGTTGTTGCAGAATAATTTTGCCAGATCAGCATAAACCATACGTGACGCATCGAGTCCAATTTCTATGGCGTACATCTCCTGACCCCACCTACACCCGCGCGGATCCCCTTCCTCCTTGGTCGCCCACCAGACGAAGGATGAAGAATCGGCGTCGACCCTTTGCAACACAGTGGTTTCGTTTGCCCAGGAGGAGATGCCTCTTGTTG